GGTCATTCCAGTGCCCCCAGGGGCTGGTATCGGTCATTTTTGGAAACACTGGTTTAAGCAGAGGAAAACTAAAAGTGGCAAAAATGAAAAATTGTCCAGAAATGGTTGAGCAATATTTGGTGGTTCCAGTAGAGACAATATAAATGCAGATATTAAAGTATAGGTATGCAACTAGACCACGTCTTTATTAATTTTCTAGTGATAAAGGCCCACATGTTTTGCAGTTACATGCAATGTGTTGTTCAATCTTTAGGTGTCCAGAAATCAGTGCAGTTGCTGAGATGTGATGAATAAAATGAAAATTGAGTTTGTTTTCTGTTTTTCACAAGACGTTTGTAATGCCATTGATTTTGTCATTCATGTATAAAAGTGCAAATGTGTGATAAAGTCTGGAGAAAAGGGAATTTAGCACGCGCAAAAACTTCAATGCCCAAATGAAGGTCATGTAGGAATACAACCATTCTTGTGGTAGCCACTAGGGGGCGACATTCGCCTAGAACAAGCTGGTTGCCATGTAAGGGCAAAGTGGGACCAAATTTAGACATAGACAGTGTGACTGCTGATAACTCCAGGATGTCTACAAATTGTGTTTGTAATTCAGAGTGTTTATTTGTTAACTGGCCTGTGTGGTTAGATAGGAACCACTCCAGTAAAACCAGCCTACCGTTTGGAGTGAAATTGAATATAGAGACCTGTTTGATGGTGTGTTCTGAAGGAACCGGCTTCCTATACTGAATTGACTTAATCTTTTCAGACTGAAATTTGGAAGGTGACAGTGGACTCTCTTCAGTCTACAAAATGATTGCCACTTGGAATCCTGTTTCTTTTTTTTGGCAGCTTTATGGCAGCTAAGGGCTGGAAGAATAGGAGGATTCAGAAATAGAATAAATTGGGAGCCTGTTTGCTCAGCTGGTTTCAAGGGATAGTTTGTCCCAGCCTCTCCCTCCCCAGTCCCCCCCCTTCAGTAAAGTGACTTGAAACTGAGACTCCAAAGAGCAGAGGGGTTGTTCCCAGGGAAAGCCCCACGCCTCACTGGCAAACATCAATGGCGGCGGAAGCGGAGTAGGTGTGGAGGAGGCCTGCGTGCCTCCGGGACTGTTGCCAAGAGGCGAATCTTATTAAGAAGTGGGACTTGCTCAGCTTTGTTCAGGAGTTTACATTCTTGGGAAGGAAAACCGCTGTTTGGCCTGTTTTGTTTTCTCTGCCAATGGTTTTATTTACGTTCTGATTTCTTTCTCCATGTGCATCATTTAATCCCTACAAACAGCCCAAGGAAGAGGTATTTTCATTCTTCCCATTTTACAGATAAGATAACTAGGGCACAGAGAAGGGAAGTAACTTACAGCTTATAACCAGTATGTTCATGTGCCAAGAGTCAAGCCTGGGAATCTTGGCACATGAACTTGGCCATAGCTCCACATGCTGGACTCTCTGCTGGGCATTTCTCGTGGAGAGGCCGCGCTGGCTCCGCTAACTGACCCTGGAGAGCTCCTCATTCTCTGCAGACATCTCTCTAATAGCAGGAGCCACAATCTTCCGAGCCCCCTTCTTGGCTAGCTCAAGTTGGAGGCTCCTGAAGCCTTGACAAAGGCGCCAGGTGAGAAGAGGAGATAAGTGCTTATTTCACACACACCATAGAACATTTACTCATGTCTTTTTTTTCTCTCATTTTAAAATGAATTTTGTTGGTACCTGCTCTTTTGTCAAATACCTGATTGTACCTAAAAATATAGTCTTGGGTGCCGTAGAGCAGATTTTCCACACACAGTGACCCTATGTGACAGAACTGCCTAATTGGGCTTTTCTAAGCTGTAATTATACTGTGTGGGTTTAAACGGCCAAGCTTTTGGGTCGAAGCTGAACGCTTAACCGTTGTGTCACACAGTCTCTTTTATCTAGTACTATAAATGATATTTATCATACAGGAGCCTTGGTGGCATAGTGGGTTATACATTGGGTTACTTACTGCAAGGTCAGCAGTTCGAAACCACCAGCCACTCTGTGGGGAAACAACGAGGCTTTCTACTCCCATGAAGACTTTCAGTCTTGAAAACCCACAGGGGCAGTTCTGCCCTGTCCTATAAGGTTGCCGATTCAGAAATAACTTGATGACAGCGAGTTTGGAGAGGTTTGTATGTATCATGTGGAGATAATAGGTCTACAGATGTCATATAGCATCCTGTAGCAAAAACTCTTTTCTTCAGTACTATTAAGGGGACTTCAGGGATCCAGGTTCTATTTTTAGAGTCAGGCTCTTTCTGTAAAAGGCTAGCTAGCAAGTATTTTAGGCTTTTTAGGGTGGTATTTCAGGCTTTGTGGGCCATGTAGTTCCTTGTCTTACAAAAGCATGGCTAGAGAACATGTCAGCAAGTGAGCATGACTATTGGCCAATAAAATTAATGGACATGGAATTTGAATTTAATATAATTTTCATATTTATCTTTTAATTTTTTCCCTATCAAAAAATGCAGAAATCTGCCTTAGGTCAAGAGCCAGACAAACATAGGTGTCAGACCACAGATTTGGCCTGAGGTCCAGTGGTGGCTCTGGGTGGATGCCTAAGTGATAGTTGTCAAGGATCTCTTAGTGGCATGAGGCTTATAGAGGAGGCCCAAGATGCTCCAGAGCTGAAGTTGCTTCCGGATCTCTGTGTTTAGGAGAGAAGAGTAAAGGTCAGCTTAGAAACCAGCAAGGAAGAGAAGGGGGGAGGACCCAGAGAGAGTGAGCCACTGATGCTTGGAAATTCCACTGCTTTTCCCCCTTGTTGCCTGCAGTTCTTAGCTAAGCGAAATTGATAGCCAAGTAGCCACATAATAAGGAGCAACTAAAATGATCATACTGGCACCTGATTAACAAGCTATTTGGGATTGAACTGTGATAAGTGTGTGTGTGTGTGTGTGTGTGTGTGTGTGTGTGTCAGTGACTTAGGAACAAAACTCCAGTTGTCCCAGCATGGGAATATCTGAAGCTGATTCTTCCTCCGCAGAAGGAGGGAGTCTGGTTTTGTGCTGTTTTCATCGTGACAATTTGGCTTAAATTTCTAGCACATCCTGGTTTTCAAGCTTGTGGCCTTTGTCCTCGTGACCTCGGTCATTGGCTCTATGATTCTAGATGTGAAACAGCGCAACTCAATCTCCCAGATGATCGTCCTTCTCTGAAGGTGGGCTGAACCCATACAGCCCTGGGCCTTGATTGGGAAATGCCACCCACCTTCTGTCACTGCCGTGGCCATGATGCCCTGAGAGAAGAACAGACCTGCCTGGCTGCTTCCCCATTGTTCCCTCCTCTCACCTTGTCATGCCCCCACTGCCCACTGTGAAACTCATACAGTGATTGCTTGCTTCCCCACTCATCCTCTGAGTGCAGCCATCAGCCCTGCGGGATTGGGCTGCTCACCGACTTCTCCCTGCTCGTCTGGTTTTGGCTGCTGGATCTCAGGCTGGTCCTTTTCTGTCCACACCATCCCTGCTCAGCTTTCTTCCGGGGCCTGGGCCCTGTAAGTGTCCTCACCTCCCTAAGCCCCTTGCGCCTTTGCTGAGCGCCTCTGTTTCCCTCCTTGGGCTTACCCACTCTCCCTTCATTCGCTTGCTCCTCCGCCACGCACCTCTGTTCTCCTCAAAAGAGATCACGGTGCCGTCCTCCAGGGGAGAGGTCGCATTTCTCAAGTTTTCAGAAGCTTAGACAAAAGATCAGGCACCAGCCCTGCGTAGACTTCGTGACCAAGCGGAGGTGTTTGTAGTTTTTAATCTACCTTCATGTGGGAATGGAGTCTGGGGGTGATGCAAATGGTTAACACACCTGGCTGATAACTGGAAGGTAGGTGGTTCGAGTCTACCCAGAGGTGCCTTTGAAGAAAGGCATTCTATTTCTGGAAAACAAACAAACAAAAAAAACCCAGCTTTTTAAAAAAAATCATTTTATTGGGGGCTATCCATCTCATCACCATACCTCCATCCATCCATTGTGTCAAGCACATTTGTACACTTGTTGCCGTCATCATTTTCAAAACATTTTCCTTCCACTTGAGCCCTTGAAAAACCCAGCTCTTAAAAACCCTGTGATACACAGTTCTTCCCTGATCCATGTGGGGTCACCGTGAGGCAGAATTGACGGCAACTGGGTGAGTAAGAAGCCAGGTGGGCCGCTCGTCCCAAGGTCGGTCGTTGGAAACCACCAGCGACTCCGGAGAGGAGGCCGTGACTTTCCACGCCCGCGAAGAGCTCGGGTCCCAGGGAGCCGCCACCGGGCAGTTCTCCCCTGTGCCTTCGGGTCACCAGCAGTCGGCATCGACTCCCGAGGTAGTTTGTGTGTGCGGTGTGGGTTTAGCCAGGACGCGTTGAAGTCTTCTTTTTATTTTCCTTATGTTTTCAGATTTTCCATCTTTGACCAGCACCGACTCGTCGCGTCAAGACCTAACCCAAGAAGAATCTCTCTTCCACGGCCGGCCCTCACAAGCTGCCGCTCCCACAGCCACTCGCTCGCCAGGTCACGCACAGCGCACGGAGGCCATCGGAAGAGATGCGCTCTCGCAGACGCCTGCGTCCTCTGATCGCTTGCAGAAAGGACTCCAGCTTAAGCCACCGAGGACACGGTTCCCTGTTTACAAAGAGGAAAGCCAATCTCAGAGTTCCCCGTTAACCCCCAAACAGAAAATAGCCCACCTGCTGCTTGAAAATGGGACGCTGGCCCCTAAGACAGCAGCGGCTGTTTCTCCCCAGACCATCCTGGTTTCTCTGAAGCCCACAGTTCTTCAGCCCACCCATTCATCAGGGGTACCTGCTGCGACTTCCCAACCACAGGCGGCCACCACAGCACCGCCCGTCACAACCATGACCTCTCAGCCCCCCACAGCCCTTGTTTCTACCAGTTTGACACGAGCTGTAATTACACTCCTGGCTAATCTGACTACAGGTCTGACAACCACCGTCCAGGCACCTCCAGGCTTGAACAGCACTCTGGAAATGGTGCCCTCTGAAGAAACCTCTACCCTCACCTTGAACCCAGGGGATGCTCGCAACCTTGAGACCCACCCTTTCTCCAATGTGGAACCCTCTGTGGCAAATAAGACTGCTTCCCAGGAGACGGGGGAGGCCGGCCCAGGCAGGTCTTCTCCGAGCAAGGTTTCAGAAAGCCAGCATGGTCTTCCCTTTGAAAAGTGGCTCCTCATTGGGACCCTGCTCTCTGGTGTCCTGTTCCTGGTGATAGGCCTGGTCCTCTTGGGTAGAATGCTCGCAGCCTCCCTCCACAGAACGCGTTACTCAAGACTAGATTATTTGATCAACGGGATCTATGTTGGCATCTAAGGGTGAAGCTAGAGGTCTCTTAACTCACTTAGTACCTAATAACGCAAGTGCTAACTCCCTGATAACCCACTGACCTTAGCAGGAGGTTGTGTCTTGTCGGTGGGACAAGTCCCCCTCCCGCTTTCTTTTCATGTATGTTTTGAGGAAGAAGGAGGGAAAGAAGCAGTGAGATCACGGAGGACCTGTCTGAACTAGCAGCTGACAGCAGCTCTCCCCAGAGAAGAGTGAATGGCCACGGAAAGGGAGTAGCGCCACTGGTCACATGTTAGGCGAGTGGTTATGATTTCAAGGCTTGTTAATGTTTCTGGTTCCAGATAAAGCCAGTTTCATGATATTAGTTCTCATGGATCCACTTTCCTTTTATATGAATTCCAGCAAAACTTGTTCCAGATGTGTTTCCTTCCCATTAAATAGTTGAATAAATCTTTGGTTGCTCGGTATTATTCTTATAGGTGACACATCCAGCTGGATGGCCCCTGTCTGTTCCCATCAGCACAGTGATAGCATCACAGAACTATGTGCTCCAGGCTCCAATAACAAATAGCCACCGCCCCCCACCCCTGCTCTTTTCCCATCAGTGAGCCCAGAGGCTCCTTTGGGAGAATTCTGAAAGGCTTCAAGCCCACGTGGAGACCACGCTCGTCGATTCTGATTGCCAAATCCCTGTCAGACCTGTACCTGTTAACTTAAAAAAAAAAAAAGAGTAACATAATATTACATGGGCTGCTGAACTGAAATATCTAGCATTGGCAAATGCACTGGGGCAAAAGTGTACTCCGGTTCCCAGGGGCTCTCAGGAGGAGGGAAGGAGGCTTCAGGAGCCCAAAGTTTCTGCCTGGGCTTAGGATAAGTGTTTGGAAATGAATCGTGCGATGGTCACCCTCCCTGAGGATTGGACGCAATGTCATTGAATCGTGCACTTCAAAAGACCAGCCAACAGTTCCTTCCAAACAAAAATGAAAAGAGGGCGGCAGGGGAACTAGATGAACGGAAATGGGAAAGCCAGAACTGAACCATAGAATGGCCATGCTTGTGCAGAATCTCTCCAGTGTGACCCGACAATGTGCGGAGAAGTTGTTGATCAGCCAAACTCATTGCCGTCGAGTTGATTCAGACTTATAGCAGCCTCAGAGGACAGTGTGGAACTGCCCCTGTGGGGTTCCAAAACTAAGTCTTCACGGGACTAGGAAGCCTCGTCCTTGTGATTAGCAGCCCAGCACAGCCAGCTGTGCCACCAGGGCTCCTTGAGATTGTGGAATGGTGACCCTAAATGGCTTTGTAAACCATCAACCACCTACATAAAACCTTCTGCATATATGAGCATGAACCTAGAATGGAAAGTCTGTGCTTGTACCGTGATTTGGTGAAGTGGAACAGACAACAGAGCTAATCTTGTGGGCTACAAGCAATCTAGTTGTCAAAAAAATTTTACAATGCCATATTGGCTACATATTTTACCGCCATCTTTTAAAAAAAATGGCCAACTAAAACAAAAGTCATGCAGACATTTCCTAAAGGTGCCCCAATGTAAAAAACAACACCTTGGCGGAACTTGACCAGCAGTCAAACTTAGCCTTTTTTTGGAACATCAATAATATACCCGAAACCAAAACCTCATCACCCTACAGGACACCAGAGAACTGCCCCATACTGTTTTCCAAAGACTGAAGTCATCAAGCAAGCCGGTTGCCACACCATTTGTCCAATGAACTGGCTGTTAGCAGCCAAGTGCTTAACCACTGAGCCATCAGAGCTCCTGAATAATGCCTAGAACCTAGACGTCTTGAATGACTAGTATCACAACGAGTCGGGATTGACTGGGGGGGCAGTGAGTGCGAGAGCTACTGAGGTTTCTGGGAAATACTTTCAATAGGGCTTGTCAGACAAGTTAGAGATGGGCAACTAAGAATCTAGAAGGCTGCCAGGAACCCATTTAGTATCTTCCCTCTCTGGACTTGAGTTTCTTTTTCAACAAAGCTCAGAGTTGGGTCCCTCCCAGGTGTCAGCAGGGTTTTTGCATGGAAATGTGGAATTCAGATGAGAAGTTTCTCCAGTGAGCACTGGAGGGCGGCAGCTGGTTGTGAACCAGTACTGCAGTGAGCACGAATGTAGAAACACAGATCAGCGGCTTCTCTTCCCTCCTCATCTCCTTCCCCCTCTCTGCCCTCCCCCACGGCTCCCCCTATCTACACTAAGCTCATAAAGCACATTAAGAGGAAAGCCAGTCTATTGAAAATACAACTTTTCTACTACGTAATAGCTTGACACAAATCTTCAGGGAGTTTACATAAGCTTTTTAGATGGTTGAATAAATAAAACCTTGAATCAATTTAATGTTGCAAGTATTTACTGAATGTTCACATGTAGGCGAGAATCATATTAATAACCCAGAGCCTTGGAATTTATGTTTCTCTGAATAGATGTGGACAGTGGAAGCAAGGCTTTGGGCTCCGTTCTCCTGCTGCTCTCTGCTCGCTTTGCTACCTGCAGCTGGGAACCATGGTAGGGAGACCAGAGAGGTTGTCGCTGTTGAGTAGCCGGGAGATGCCATCGCTGTGGGCGTGTGGACAGCAGGAGAGCACACATCTAAGATGGGAAGAACAGCCGTTTTCACAGATCTCTGGGCATCACCCCACCCGCTGCCTTGTCACAGTGGGTGAGACTCACCCGGGACCCCAGGAGAGAAGAAAGACCCACCTTTGAAGTCCTTTATCATTGATGGCTTAGCCAGCCTCAGGCAAAACCAAACCAAAGGCACTGCCATTCAGAGGATTCCCACTAGGAGTGGCCCTGTGTTGGGTTTCCGAGACCATAAACCTTTGAGAGCGGACGGTCTCATCTTTTTCTCACAG